TTTTTTTTTTTTTTTTTTTTTTTTTTTTCATGAAAACTTATTGTGTGCTTTGAACTGCCGAGAAGTACTCAAGAAGACATAAACCCATGAGTTACTACAGGCTGCATGCCTGGAACATGCAGGCCATCTCAACATATGGAGTAAATCAGCACAGCTCTGCTGACTTCAGTGCAGCTGCATCTATTACCGCTCGCTGTAACCCTGCTCCAGACTGTAGGGAGGGTTGTCTGTGGACAGTGGATATTAAAAAACACACCCTTCTTTCTTCCCTTTTCATAGCTTTACACTTCATGAACAGAATAAATGTGCTACAGGTGGAGGTGAAATAGTAAATTATTTTTGCCTCTATAAAATTACTTTATTTGGACATATGATAAGTTCCTTCTCATTCCCTGTAGTTCCTAAATCAAGTAGTTGATTAATGCATGCACTTGGTTTCTGGCATTCAAAAATACATCAGTGATTAGTTCAGAGATAGAGATCAGTGTTTTAAAAAAAAAAAACCCCACATACGTGCACCTGCACAAAAACAAGTCAGGCAGAACTGACTCTGCATAAAAACAGGGTGGGCAGCACCCATGTAAGCCACAGGACTATGGGAAGAGGAGCTGCTTTTCTGTTTCCATGTGCCAGGAGAAGCAATGCTATCAGGCTTATGTATGACGGATCAGAGTGCAGTGGTATTGCTGCAAGCAAAAGTCATGAATTTTAATCAACTTTACTGGCTGCCTTGAAATTTGAGTTGAAAGATAAATGTGAAAAACAGGCAGCCCATATTGTTTCTGGAATAAAACTGCCCCTTTTCTGTTGATTAATAGAATTTTTCTTTTAATGTGATAATAAAAAAATACTTCCATCTTGGTTCTGGAATTTTTTTTAGGCTAACCCTTCAGGTCCTGCCAGCCCTGGGTGCCTCCCTGAGCTGAGTGTCACCTTATGGCCATCCAGATGGCTGACCTTGGCTGTAGAGACTTTCCAGCCAGCAGGGCTTGTTGGCTCTCTGCTTTCAGCCGTCTTGAAAAAGATGGTTTTAGGGTTTTATTTAAATATTCTTAATGTTTTTTTAAAAAAAAAAAGGACTTGCCTGGTGAAAACTGCTGAGTGGACTGTCCAGGGAGTTGGAGTCCAGTTTATATTCATTGGGGAAATTTGGCACAGCCAACATACTTGTCCTTCCCCTCTGTTGCTCCGGGGCTACTTTTAAGGTTATGTAGTTGCTGTATTCGTTTGGGCATCGGTCTTCCTAATTAAGTGTAAGTGATTGGAATGCCAACATGGTCTGGGGGGGTACATCTAAGCTTTGGGAAGAGGTGGACTGAAACTACCAGCTCATGTCCCTGGACAGAAACACACACCCATGGTGTTATTTCCAGCCGCTGCCAGGCTGGTCCAGATTACTTTGAGTAATTGAGAGTGCTTTCCTCACTCCTCTGTACAGAAGTTTGCTTCAGGGGTTATCATAGCCACTTTTCCTGTTTTGCCATTAAGTCACCTCTGTGCAGGAATAACTTTGAAGGGCTGTATTTAAGACCAAACAACTTTTAAGAAAGGGAAGGGGAAATTAGCCTACAGGCACCAGGGAAGAAAAAAAAAGGGTGGAAGACTCTTGAGTCGCTCCTCCTCTCTCAAGGACAAGGGCTGTGTTATTTTCTCCTAGGATCTTCTATGGTTCAACTCCACACCTAGTTTCTCATCTGCTCTGATAGCTGTAGGTTCACCAACTGCTTTGCATTAGTGAATAGTTCATTGCAGCTGCAGCAGAGGCTTATTTGATGCTCTGGGAAATTCTTGCTGCTTTCACTAGTGAGAAAGGCAATGTATTTTGGGGGCCTAAATTAGCGTGAAAGGGCACATACATACCTGCTAAGTACAAATTCCAGCTTGTTTGTACTCTCAGTTGGTTACACCCTTGGCTCAGAACCCAAATATTTTAAGAATTTGTGTTGAGGTATATCCTTTCCCAAAAGAGGCATGAAGTTAGCTTCCCCTTTTGCATCAGTGGGCGCAGTTTCTGTAAGGATGCCGAGTATTTGCTTGAAGCAGAAATGTCAATTCCTTCAAGGCATGTCCAGAGACTTTGGGAGGGGAGGGGAGGCGATGCTTTGCTTCAGTATGAGAACCTGGTGGATGCTCCTTGCACAATTGAGATGACTTGGCTCTTGCTTTGATTGGAATACACTTGCTGTAAAGGAAACCCACTTTATTTCCGTGTCCCTTTGTGGGAGCTGAGATGCCTTGTAGTGCCACACTTTGCTGTACTGAGGCCATTGGTGCTACACCTGCTTACCCCCGTGGCTGATTTTTTTTTCCCTTGGGCCTTCAAAGCATGTACGTACGCCAAAGCAGAAGATTAGTGTCACTAAGGAGGCTCATTTCAGATACAAATGCTCTATGGGCTTCTGCACAAAGGAAGCCTGCCTGGTTTTTAATTTTTTTTTTTTAATTTATTTATTTATTTTAATGCCTCACTGGAAACACTGTCTGCTTTGCTTTGCTTGCTCCACCTTTCCATGTTGCTGTGCTGTGAGTCCAGAGGTTGGGGTTGTGGGAACGTGTTTGGTGGCATTTACCAGTTGTCATATTACGCTGCAGTGGGATCAGTCGGGATGGCTGGGAGGGCTGTTGTTATTCCTGATACTATTCCCGGTATCATTTCCCTCTAATACTGAAGGAAGAGAGCGTTTGCCGATGCCTCGAGGTGTCCTAATGTACTCGCGCACCAGTTAATCAGCTGCCTGAGAAGGTGCATGAACGTCACAGGGCGCAGCGTGTTGGGGTGCCGGGGTGGGATGTGGGTGCTGCGGGGCAAGGAGTCGGTAATCCCTGCGCATCCCTTCCCTTGCAGTTACCTGGCCGAGCAGTGCTGGAATGGCGGCTTCGTCTACCTGATCATGTTGCGCCGCATCAAGCGCAAAGCCCCTCTTCCTCCCTCCAACGGCAACAACAGCAACAGCTGTGACCCCAAAGCCAAGCCCAGCCCCGAACCTGGCGACAGAGCTGCTCAAAATGGGAAAAGGACCAGGAAGTTTGGGGTCATCACCAGAACACCGGGCAGCAAGGACAGCAAAGAAAAGCTGGCCTCGGAGCACGGGAACGGGCACTGCACCCCGATGGAGGTGGAGGTTGCTCAGCCGGAGACCTCTGAAGCAGAAAGCAACGGAGAAGAGCAGCTTCAGGGCACCGGGGGACAGTACCGGTGCCAGCTGTCAGATGGTGGCGTGCCAGACATCGGTGACCAGTCTGCCCAGGTACGTTTGCATTGGGTTTTTCTGGAGAAGAAAGCAGCAGGCATGCAAGTGAATTAAGGGAATTTCTCAAGCAGTTTCCCTGGTTTCAGTGCTCCATCCTTGGTCTGACCCTCTGGGTGACAATCCAAGCTGTCAGGGCACCGAGATGTGGGATAGGTTCCAAAACAGGGGGCAGGAGGATTAGAGAGTTAAATAGTAATTTTGAGAAACCTCTGTCATGCTGGGGAAGGTCCTTATATCTCTGACCTGTCATGGTGGGCTTCAGGATTTCTTTCGTTGAGACAACTGATGACCTTATGACGCTGGGGCAGGAGGTGTCAGTGGAAGATGGTCATTTTGTCCTTTGGGGCTTCATGTTTAGCTCTGTCTAAGCTTGACGGCACCTTAAAGCTCATGTTAATATTGGAATTGAAGCTTCTCTTTTTGATGCACCAAACCACGGTGCATTTATTTGTATTACAAAACTTGTTTGGCCAGTGTTTGGGGACCACATGGAAGTTATTGTGAATTTCGCTCTGAGTTGATGAGGTGGACGATTTGTTAATGTTTGGGACGACAGTGGGATCAGGGCTTTCATTGCTTCTCTCTTCATCCTAATGGAGATCTTGGGGTTTGTTGCCTGGCTAGAATTGCAGCATTGCTGGATGGAGAAAAATAACCCAAGCCTTGGTCAGGTTTCAGTATGCATCTATCACCAGAAGAGCTGTCTGCCAATCTTTCCAGAGACACTGATAGTATAAACAGATGAACACTGCTTTGTTGGGCTTGGGGCTTGCTGCAGCAGCTGGTTTTGGTTTTAAGACTTCAAAGCTGGTAACAGAGCAGTATAAGTGAACATCTCATCACTAAATTCTGTTGAGGAGAGCATGGGTTTAAACGTGTCCTCTGAATTAGTGCTCCCCAATACTACTGCAGGGTGATGGTGGTTGTGTACTTAAACTAATTTAACTTAAAGTACATTGGAGGGGCTAAAACCAATTTTAAAAAATGCTGGTCTTAAAGAAGCGTAATTGGGAAAACCTGCTTTTCCCATCAGTGAGACATGTTGGATTTCATGGTGCAATGGAAGGGGAGGATGTTTGTGTACTGTTCTTGCAAGCCTCCTAATTGTAGTCTTTCTGAAAGAAAACATTAAAAGTTTTAAATAAATAAATCCTTCAGAATTTTGAAAGCTCTGGTCCATATAAAAACTTCTTGAATCTGTTCTGAAGATGTCTAATTAAACACATGCTATAAATGAAGATATTCAGAGTTTGTTTTGAGGACGTGGAAAGCCAAAATATACATATGTATATATATAAAAAAAGAAACTCTTGATCCAGGCCATCTTGTGCTAGTGTTACCTTGATGTTTTGAGTCATTTTGATCTGAGAAGTAAATTGTTAAATTCAGAACATATATGTATCAGTGTGAGCAATAAATATATTTTTAATGCAAAGCACATACAAGGTGGCTTTGTAAAACGTAAAAGCGTAGTTGAGTCACTGGAAATTTAAGCAGTATAGTCTGTTCAGTTGTGGTGTATCTGTCATGGAGCCTGTTGGGAGGCACAGTCATTTAGTAAAATTGCTTCTCTCTCTCTTTTAATCCTCCATCCATGGGGTAGCTGCTATCAGATTAATGAATGGCTTAATTCAGTTTCTTAATAAGTATTGAATAGTGACAGTGAATAAAATTTTCAAAATTATTTCAATCCTGGTAAAAAAATAAAAAAGGCAAGAAATAAAGACACTTGGGAGCCTCAAATTTCACTTCCAGCTCTGTTTTCAAAGTGTGACTTGGCACTCAGGCACGTGAGATCCAGTTGTGTCAGGAGCCTTTTGAAAACAGCATCCAGGACGTCATGTCAGGAGTTGCAGCCTCCTTCCAGCCTTCAAAGTGCAAGCCAAACCTCTCGTAGCCGCGGGATGAGTTATCTCCTCCCAAGTGGGGACAGGGTGCATTGGGAGGGCACCCTCTCCATGGGGAAAGCAGCTCCATCCCCACTGCCCGCCCTGCACTCGCCTTCTCCTCCATACATTGACTAATTGAATATCCAGGGCTGTCAGCCCTGTACCTTCGGGGAGCACTATATTCGCTTTGAGAGGATGAGACCCAGCCTGCGGGCTGGAGGTCAGCTGTGGGTGGGAGGAAAGCCTTCAAGAAGCTGCTGGGCAACCGGCGCGGCTGCGGGAGGACCTCACTGGTCCTCCCCACTGCCCTGGTCCTCCCCACTGCTCATTACCCTTCCCGTGCCCCAAGGTCTAGATTGGAGATTTACTGAAATTGGAATATGAAGTCCAGGAACATCTCTTTTTCTCCCTGTAGAAAGTTAGTTTGAAGTTGCCATAATGAAAACAGGAGAAGAGTTTGGGTCAAATCTGCCCCAGGAGCCAGCTCACAGCCGATGCCTTGGGGATGTTGTGCTGGGAGTGCTTTTGAGGCATCCACGTGTCTTTGGTGGTGTTTGTTTTCATGGTACCTCCTCTCCCACAAGCCTGGGGTTGTTCTCTCGTTTTCTTGCTGCTAATAACAGCAATGCTGAGTTGTGAAAGAAGAAGGGAGACAAATACTGTCTGTCAAGTGAACCTGCCAGGAGATTCCTGTGTTACTGGTTTGTGTGCATGTGTCAGTCCCCTTCTTCAGGCTTGCTTTCATCTCCCAGATTTTGGTCTGTCTCTCCTGTGCACTTGGCATTGCTATCACTATGTATAAACAAATCTGCCAAGCTGTTTGCTGGTATGTAACCCTCAGTAAATATTGTACCTGTCAATTAGCAGGCAGCATTTAATGTTTACAGGTGGTTAAGTTATGCTGCAGTATTTTTAGGATGAACCAAAATGGTCTTTAAAGTGTGGGGATTCAAAGCAGCAAGGCTGTATCTGCCTGGCAGGAAGATCTCGAGGGTCTGGAAACCAGACCTGACCTTGGAGAGGACCCAGGCTGGCTGCAGTGGGATTCGTGGGCAGTGATTTAAGACCAGGCAATCTCTGAGCCAGAGTAATGATCCATCACATCCTGCAAAGATTGGGGAGCTTAAATACAGAAATCAAAGTTTACTTCTTTTATCAGTGGCCTGAGACAAGGTGGTGTTTTGTAGGCTGGTAATTATAAAGGAACAGATGAAAGAGGAGTATTGGGAGCATCCGGATCAGTAAGGGTTTGAAATCCAGATCCAAATTTAGCAGTCACCGGTGGGAACTGTGTCAAGGAGACTGGGCAGAATAAAAGTGCTTTAATAGTGAAGGGAGGCAGGTGAGAGGGGCTGGGGGTCTGCATTTGGGCATTTCTCCATTGGGAGAAATACATGGCATGGGAGGAGGGCAGGGTGTGCACCAGGTCTCCCGGGCTGGTGGTAGCACCGCAGCATGGGGCTGTGGTGGGATGGCTTTCCAGGATGGAAACGAGTCAGCATCTGGTGGCCCCGTAAGGTGTGTCTGGTGTTTTTCTGAAGTCAGTGTACCGTCTATTAAAAGAAGGGAGGAGGAAGGTAAGGGGATATTAAAGCCTTGCCTCACAGAGGTTTTTGGGGGAGGTCTGGGTTATAGTAGTGCTTCAAGATCTTGGCTCCATGTTGTTAACCCCAGTTACTCTGGAGTAGGTCGCAGCTGCCAGAGCAGTGTGCCCAGCCAGCTTTGCTCCCTTATAGACCAACGGAGCCCAGCTTACGTAGACCACAACCCTCTCCAGACTTGTGAGTGTGTACACAGGTGCACATGGATGTGCGCATACGTAAAAGACCGGTTGGGTCTTTGCCAGCCAGCACTTGCTTTTGTATCGCTGCAACTGCACCATGCTTGATTTCGTTTTATTGGCAAATCTCTTCCTTGTTTGGCCCTGTTATTGCTTTCTTATTAAGATGGCTTGTCTCAGGAAAGGCTGAATGCTTTTGGATTGCATTTTGCTTTGTAGTTAGGAAAGGCTGTCAGCCTTTCTATAGCAATATTTACCAATTAGCATTGGTAAATGCCAGCCTTACCTTGCGTTTTGGTTAATGGAAAATGTTCCTTATCTTGCCAAGCAGAAGAGGAAGGCTAATGGCATGTTACAGGAATCAAAACATGAGACTTGAAATAATGTACCAGCTTTAAGCATTTTACTATTTTTTAAATGTGATGGAGAAAAAATTCTCATCCGCTTGCTGTACCAAAATGAAAACCTTGCTGTGAGCAAGGTACTTACAAGGGTAAATACACACAGCTCCACTGAAGCTACTGAAGCTAAGTTGCTTTACATCAACTTTTTTTGGCAACCTAAGCAGTAATTATTGTTTCATCAAGGCTTTTATGGGACTCTTATATGATGCATGTTTTAGACATAAATAACTCTCATTTTAGTTTTTAATGTAGACACCTTCAGTCATGTAAAGGCCTTCCTCAGAATCTGTTTCTGTTCTTAACAGCTTTTTATCTGTTGTGTTTGCTTCCAACTTTCATTAACACAAATCCTGGGGCTATCTACTGTCTTGAAGTTTTAATGTGCCCTGTGATAAGCACATCTTCCCTCTCTCTTGCCTATTTTGGGTTGTAAACTCTCTTAGGGACAAGGGCTGTCTTTTAATTGTAGCTGTACAGCACTGACAAAACTTGGCCTTGGTTTTGCTTGGGGTTTTAGGAAGTGCTTTGATGTAACTAGTAGTGAAATTACAGTTCATTTGTTTTTTTGCTGCCAATTATGTTCCACCTTGACATAAAACAACTGTCGTCACAACTTTCTGGGGTTAAGTCTCACTTGCTGCCAAATTTTTTCAACCGATTTAAGGTTTTGCCTTTCTTTGCTATGATTTAAGCGATAGCTACAGCTGTGGTAGCTGTAGATTTTAATTTTGAATAGCAATCTGTCCTTTTATTCTGTTTTTGGATTGAATTTTCCAAGGCTGCGGTGGAGGGTTGGGCATAGAGATAGTGCGGTAATGGATAAGTTGTAATGAGTTAGTTTTAATGTGTCATCTTGAAACGGGGTCCTCACTCTTGGAAATGAGCTGCCCCCAAAGGCAGCACAGATACGCATGAGGTTGTGTT